CTTGCCTCAGAGCCAGACAATTTGGTTTCTTCCTAAATGTCCCTGATGCCTTTTGAGTTGCTACCCCAGCACTAGAACTCAGAGTAAGTCTATCAGTGAGTAAGTCTGTGTGTGGGTCCTTTAAGAAGAATGCTTGGGATTCTAACAGCCCTCTGTCTCCCTCAGTCATAATCCTTGCTGGTTTTCATAGCCAGAAGTTATGGGGAATTCTCTCCCTGGCACTGGAACCCTGTGCTGGGGAGACTGGTATGGGGCTGGTACTTCTTGCTTCTCGGGAGTAGGGGCAAGGATCATCACAGCTGAGCTATTTCTCTTGAGTTTTAACTGCCATGTGTGGATATAACACCAGCTTGGTCCTCTTCTCTACCACTCTCAGTGTGGCTTCTTCTATATAATCTTAGTTATGGTACTTCCGTTCAGCCAGACTTCAGGTGATTCTCAATGATGGTGGTTCTGTAGTAGTAATATTGATGTGTTTGTGGGAGGAGATGAGCACAGTGTTTATCTGCTCCACTATCTTGACCAGAAGTGAGTATTTATGGTATTCTTATAGAGATTATTATTTTATAGGAACTTTCTTTATAAATTTCGTTAAATAACATTAAAAAATACTTGAATCATATGTTCTATAAAGTATCACATTGAAGATTTTTGCCTACATTATTAAATCAAACATTTATTTTATCAGAGGCTGTTGGCAAGCGCAGCAAATAGATAGACTTGACCACTTTCATATTTTGTACTTAAGGACCTGGGTTTTTGTTAATAATCTCATCAGTGTCTGCATAGTTTTGACAGCATACCGTTGGCTTTGTGTCATCGAATAGGGCTGGCATCAATTCATTATTTTGACAGAATTAACAGTTCATTAAAGATCTTCTATATTCTAGGCAGCGTCTTAGGCTTTTAGTACAAGGAGGCAAGGATGATATTCAAATTATTTATTAGTCACTACAACACAGGTACCAATCAATCAAGGTGGCTATAGCACTGGATCAGGGTTTGGAAGCACCCTTTTATCCTTTATACTGTATCAAGCTTTGCTGTTTTTGTTGTTGAGTGGTGGTGGTGGTGGGGGCAGGAGGCCATCAGCAGGCACCGTAGAGCTGGTGGAGTTTGGAGTGATGACTGTTTACCAGACTACATTACAGAAGTATTTCAGTACTTCAGTACAGCCTTTGAAGCTGTCCTGGTCTGTACCGACTGAATATTAGCTCTACCAAGAGGTGTTCAGTTCTCTGATTGTAAGAGACAGAGTTATAACCCAGTTTGAGAGGTGCCCAATGGAAGTATGTAAAAGGTAGATAAGGGAAAGGATTGCATGAACTGTTTTTTGGAGAACACTGGTTAGTTAAGACTTCTGTAGTCAGTAGAAATTTGCTACAGTCAGGGTTGAGGAGGAGATACTAATCAAGCCCACAGGAAAATAGCATTTGCAAAGGTATGGGCACGTAAGAGAACATAGTGGATTCAGAGATTAGCAAGCGGGAGAGATAGAAGATGAAGATGTCTTTCTCTGACTTTGAAATTGTTCCATTTTTGGTAGAGAACTGCTAGACTGTCTGATACTTAGTTTTGTTCAACTGTGTGTAAATTACTTTAGGTATAGAGAAAGAAGGGAGAATAGGAATTAGTTATGGTTCAGGGCTATCCTAAACATTGATAGAGCAAGAGTGCTATTAAAATCTCTGTACCAATTCACTGAGAGGCTTCTAATGAGCAAACACAAAATCAGGCAGATTGAGGATGGTAGTTCTTTTAATGGCATAAAACTGTTGCCCATGAGTCTTTTTGGCTGATATCATGAAACTAATTTTGCTTAATGGCTGTGGAAGCCTACAAATGCAAATGTGCAGAAAATGCAGTACCTGTCAGATTCCTTTTGCTTATCGTTTATTTCATCTGACTAGAAGCTTTTGTTTCTATATTGTCAGGAGCAAGTATGTGGACCTCTTCAAGGTTGTATTTGTGTGTGCTTGAATAATTCAATTCAGAGTCATCTAATATAGCCGATCAACAATAGTAAAACGATGTATTTTCTCATACTTGTGAAACTTAGGGAACACATCTATGGATATCTCTTCTCATTTCTGAGAGTTTTTGTAATATGGTAAACATTTGTTGTGGTGTAAATTCTTTTAATGCCAGAGTTGATGACACACCTTTGAAATATAAAGAAGTTGTACGGACAGCAGAGAAAACATTTTCTCTGAACATTCAGCTCCGTGAATGATTTGAAAGTACCCACTTATGTGCTAGGAATTGTGTGGAATACAAAAGTGAACAACTGACATTTTCTTGACTATAATGAGATTTTCTTTCTCAATCTATATTTAGTACAAATGACTGTCTTTATGGGTATGTGTGGTGGTACAACAAAGGACATGATAAAAAACGTTTGAGTTCCTTGTGAACAGTTTATTTGCTTCAAAGGTGGTTTGGAAATAATGGTTTAAGTTTTTTAATGGCTTCATTTTTACATTTTCTATGAATATTATTTTTCTCTACTTGTTACTCTGAATAAATAGAAAGCAGGAGTATTTTCAGAGTACTTAAGTGAAATCTTTAGTATATCATATCCCAGTGTTAATTCAACAAGTACATAGCCTCTACTAAGCCCTAGGTATGGAGCTCGCTGCTCAAATATTTTCTTTGTTAAACACGTCCTTGTTGATTATAGCCTGTTCTATGCCTCAGTTATTTCTATTGATTAACAATACTTTATTCTCTTTGTTTAATGCCCTGTTTTCATTATCACATTTTTCTTTTTTTGTCTCATTTACATTTCTCTACAATTTCTTAGTTTAAACATGTTAGCCCTTTTTATAGTTGTAAAAAACTTTTAATCCTAAGTAAATACATTCTCAAAACATAAAAATTTAAAATAGTTATCAATGCATGTAATCCTTGAACACATTCACACATAATTCAAAATACATAAATTCAAAACATGTGGTACATTTTCAATATTAAACATTGTAGAAATTTTAAGATTATTTTCAGAAAAATTAGGTAAATAAGTAATCACGAATGCAAACAGTCCTTAAAAATAGTTCTGACATACCTGACATTTGCCAGCGTAAAGATGATAAACAGATGTGTTTTACAGATTGTTGATGTTTGCACACTGACTGGCTACAATGATCACTTGAAATACTTGTCTAGCTGAACTTTGGGGAAATACCCAAGTGCAGAAGTATTCCTCTACCACTTAGAATGCTGTTTATACCTGGAGGCTTGCAATAAATACTGAATAAATTAATAAAACCTCAGACTGAGTCTAGATTTCAGGCTCTGATTCTCAATAAAAAATACATACTATTTAGAGCACTTTGAATGTATAGAACACATGGAAAAATTAAAATGAGCTGTAATTGTTATACTAAGAAAAGTACTATTAAATTGTATTTTTAGTCTTTTTCTGTGTAAATGTATGTATTACACACATTTAAATTATTCAGTAGATGACCATTTTCCTTTGATTAAGCATTTTTTATTTAATTTTAAAAATAAACTTTAGTAAGATATGATTTATGTGTAGTGCAGTATGATGAATTTTGACTAATGTAACCACTACCACAATCAAGATATAGAAATTTCTATCATTCTTAAAAATTTCTCTTAAGCCCCTTTGGCTCTTTCGACAACTGATCTGGTATCTGTTACTATATATTAATTTTGCCTATTCTAGAATTACATATGCAGAAAAATCGAGCAGATAGTAGAGTTCCCATATGTACCCTTTATATAGTTTCCCTGATTAGTCATAAAACAGTTTTGATATATGGTTTTAATGATAGCCTTTTCTAACTTATTAACTAATCATTTGGACTTTTAGGTTGTTTGTAGTTCTTTACAGTCGTAAATGAGCAGTCTTTGGATTTTTTATTATTTAAGACAGACAGATTGCTGGAAGAGAAGTTACTAGGTTAAGGTTTGAACTTTTTAAGACTTGTGTATTGCAAAATTGCTTTGCGAAAAGATTTTACCAATTGACACTACCATGAAGTGTGCAAAGATGCCTATTATATTGCATTATTATATCATAATACATATTATATTACAGTATCATGTGTAGTGTCACTATAGCTTACATTGTGCTGTAGTAACAATTAATCTCCAAAATCTGAGTGGCTTAATACAATGAAGTTTGTTTTTTGCTCGTGCTACATGTCTAACACACCTATCAGTGTCAACTGGGGGAGTCTCTCACTTTGGGGTCAGTTTAGCAAACCCGCCTGATCAGAGTTCCATCTGGTTACTTGCTTTCCTAATCACTGCAGCAATGTGTAGATCTTTCAGTTGTGTACCGTTTCCAGAAGCTTATGTCTGGTAATGTTTCACATCATGTCTATGGAACATTTTAGTGGCTAAAGCAAGTCACATAGTTCAACCTAAATTGAAACGGGGCAGTGAAGTGCAATCCTACTGTGAGTCTGGGAAGGAGAACTGGAACAGTGCTAATGACTGATGTCTTACTTAAAAAACAACTCTGATTTCATTGATGAAAGATGACATCTTATTTTGATTTGATTTTTTTGCCAGTGTACATGAACATTTTTATAATTTATTAGCCATTTGTTTTATTTAATTTTCCCTTTTATCAGAGTGTTATAAACATGTGCTGTTGGTTTACTTTTACATATCCGGATTTTTGAATTCTATAATTTTTGTGAGGATGGGAGGTCATGATGATGATATAGGGAGTGCAGACTTTTAGAAAATGCCTTTTCTTTTGAAGACTTGAGCAGATGAAAGACTTTATTCCCCACCTCCCATTAGTATAGTATACGTTTTAATAAGTATTTTATGTCAAGGTTTGTGAAAACATTAAATAATTAAAGACAATGGAAAGTTTCTATAGTTTTCTAAAGAATAAATTGAACTGCAAAGTTTAGGGGTAAATGATCAAGTTAGGGTTTTCCTATTGAAAAAATTCAGTTCCCAATTCAGATTGTCATATTGACCATGTCTTTTTCCTTTTTTTTTTTCCAATTCAGGTATTTGCCTAAACTGGAACTTATGCTGTAGCCATTTCTTTGTGGATTTTTCTAAAAATCTAAGGTGAGATATTTTATAGATGCATTTACTTTTTACTCATTATTTTATTATAAAGAGAAAGAATCGTTTTTGAAAAATATGAGGCAGCACCACATGTCTTTTCCTCTGAGAGTTTTAATGGGAGGCAAATATTATTTATTATAAAGCTACATATATAACATATTTATTTTTAGTTCGTAAGACATTTCATTGAAAGAAGTGAACCTGGTTCTGGTAATTAGATTAGTTTTGAGTTAAATTTTCCATCCTTTTTTATACTCAAAGATGGAGTTCATTCTACTGTTCTTCGACACACACTTGAGAAAGATATTGGCATTATAATTTGTTATTCTTGAAGGCAAATCCTTAATTTGTTAAGTCTTAGTTTACAACAATGGGTAACCATTTTATTAGGCCAGTTATCAAGAGTTTTATACCACTCTATTTAACTGTACTTGGTTATTTTCTCTAGTTCCCTCCATTTGGTGGGGCTTATAAAATAGAGGTATATCCTTTATTATGTTAATAGTTGGTTTCTATAGAAAGCTTCTATAGATAGCATTCCACTGTAGGATCCTATATAGCCCTTTCCGTTTTCTTACCTGTCTTGGCTCAAGCCCTCTTCATGTTTATTTTTTTAGTAGACGATTGTAAGTCTGTCATCTGGTCCTTCTACCTTGAGTGCAACTTCTCTACAAGCCATTGTCGTCACAGTTACCAAGTGCTTTTTCTAAAAGATAAATGTCATATCAGTCTGTGACTCAGAATTCTTCAGTATCTTTACGTTCCTTAAAGGATATTTTATCAACTCGTTTACAGAGCAGTATAATCTGCTCTTTACCCATTTTTCTATCTCACTGGTGTTCTAGGAATGTTATGAACTAAAAAAGACAGCTTTACTGAGGAATAATTTATATACCATAAGATTTACTCATTTATTTTAAGTGTACAATCCTTCCCTTCCCTTCCCTTCCCCCTTCCCGTCCCTCTTCTCTTCCCCCTCCCCTCCACCCCTTCCCTCCGTACCCCTCCCTTCCCTTCTTCTTTTTCCTTTTTCTTTTTCCTTTCCTTTTTGCTCTCCTCTCCTCTCTTCCCCTCCCCCCTCCTCTCCTTTCCCTCTTTCCTTCCCTTTTTTCCTCTCCCTTGTCCCCTCACCCCACCCTTCCCCCACCCTTTCCTTTCTTGGAGAATTTACTCCTAGGCCATACGTTTTTGTTTCTTCATTTTCTTCTGTGATATTTTTTTCTTCTGTGCAATCTTCTGGTTTGGGAACACACTGCTCTTTTTCAGTGAGGATCATCTCAGTGTGGCAGGGATTGCTCTTGTAGAAGTTAATCCACCCATGAGCTCTCTAAGTTCTGTGCTTCTTGGGAGCTTTGTTTACCAGATATATTCAATGACCAGAAAATCTACATCTAAACCTTTAAGTTCGGCATTACTCTCTGCATTTTTAAGCATGTGCAGTGAAAATTTAGCACTCTATTTGGGCCAATGACCCTGCGTCCAGCCCTTCTGTTTGGCCTGAACAAACCTACCAACTCCATTGTAATGGTGTAATGGCACATATTGCTTCGGTAAAATGAAATCCTTCAGCTGTTTGGTGGCTTTTGGAATATGCATAACCTCGATGACCTGGGCAGCTTCATGAATGTTCTTAAAGTGAATATGAAGATTTGAACTTGATTTGCATGATTTTGTGGGGTTTTCTGGGTCAAGTAATTAGCAAACCTTTTCAGAGGTCATGCCAGGCCACTTATAGGAAGAATTCAGTGGTTTTTCTTAGTTTTTACAGAGTTGTGCAACCACCACAGCAGTCTAATTTTAGAATATTTTATCATTCCAAAGAGATATTGGTACTCATTAGCAGTCACTACTAATTCCTCCTGCTAGTCAGTCCCTGTCAATTACTAATCTACTTTCTGTCTCTGTAGATCTGCCTGTTCTGGATATTTCATATAAATGGAATCATATAATGTATGGTCTTTTGTGACTTATTTCTTCTACTTAGCATAAATTTTTCAAGGTTCATCCATATTTTAGCATAAATTAGTACTTCATTCCTTTATATAGCTGAATGATATTCCATTGTAAGTGTTAGGAACTCAGCTAAATTGGAGCATGAGCTGAGCTTCCAGATGTCAGGGTAGCTGATTAAAGACAAGCCCAAATCAAAGAATGGTTTAACGTTTATTTACTTACTAAGACAATATAAGTAGGATGCTAAACCTGAGAAAGTGCAGGCTCTCTCTAACCTCAGGTGGATCAGTACATAGTGGGTTGGGAGATGAGGAGGTCATCTCACTGCTAATGGAGCCCCAAATAAAAGGTTCCTACAGTTTTATGGACCCAGGGCTGGTTAGAGGGTGAGGTGGAGAAACTAAGAGTGGAAAAGTACTGAGAGTAGAGAAAAAGTATCATTAACCCATTTCCTGTTTGTCCCGAGAATACTTGCTAGCGGTGCTTGCAGCTACGTTTACCCTGAGATATCTCGTGGATTACAGTCCTAACTCTACCCCCAAAGTTTGCCATGAAATATCTCACTTTTTTAAAATTATTTTTGCATTGCTCTAGAATATCAACGGTCTTTGGGAACAAATGACATCATTCTATTTATACCATTCTGTTTTTTGTAGTGGTATTTCTACAAAAAATATAGTAATTCTCCATTGCTGAAAATGTCAAATCCTAGAAAACATAGCATTCCTAATACATGATGTTAACATCGTTCTCGAACAGTTATCTTAATAACAACAGTTATTATGAAGATTCACTTGATTTATGTATATATTTCTGTTGCATTAGGGTTAGAGACAAGTTCTGTTTAAAAATAACTCCAAGAAGAGTTTTTATATTTTATTTTCACATTGAAAACCAGTTTGATTTGCTTCAACCTCAAAGAGTGTGTTTATGTAAAATTAAATTAATGCTGGCAGTGAGCTGCACTTATTTTCTAAATGGGAAATGGGTTCTTTTCTGATGAGGAGGCCTTTGCAGAGGCACCTGGGAAAAGGCTTCAGCTGAAGGCCACAGATAAAGAGACTTCTGAATGAAGGCACCTGCGCTAGGAATGCAGCTATGCTTAAGGACACCTTCAGTCAAGGGGACCTGACTTCTTGACTGCAACTCTCTTGAGAGACTGCAGTGCACACTGGCTGTGCACCTGGTCTAATGTGGGAAAGTCAGCTTTCCTATGTGAGGCCTGCCAGGTAAAGCTTTTGTAATTGTTTATAGTCGAACAAGAAAAGTCACAGATTTCTTGGTCAGGAGCTGGACTCCTCAATATGTATATACCATATTTTGCTTATTCATTCATCAGTTGGTAGACATTTGGGTTGTTTCCACATTTTGGCTATTATTATGAGCATTTTGCTATGAAAATTTGTGTACAAGTTTTTGTGTGTAGATATTTTCATGTATATACCTAAGAGTGGAATTGCTAGGTCATTTGGTAACTCTGTGTTTAACATTTTGAGGAACTGCCAAACCGTTTTCCAAAGAGATAGTATGATTTTACATTCTCACCAGCAATGTGTGAGGGTTCCTGTTTCTCCATATTCTCACAAACATTTGCTATTGTCCTTTTTTATTAAAAAAAATTATAGCCATTTTAGTGGATGTGAAGTGGTATCTAAATGTGGTTTTGATTTGTATTTTCCTAATGACTAATGATGTTGAGTATTTTTTTCATGTGTTTGCTGGCTGTGTGTGTTTCTTTCTTTGGAGAAATGTCTATTCAAATTCTTTGCCCATTAAAAAAATTAAGTTATTTATCCTGTTTTTGTAAGAGTTCTTTATATATTCTGGATACAGGTCACTTATGAAATCTATAGTTTGCAAATATTTCTTCTTGTTGAGATGTTTTTTCACTTTCTTGATATTGTTCTTTGAAGCACAAAAGTTTTCAACTTTATCTTTTTCTTTTGTTGCTTAAGCTTTTGGTCTTGTATCTAAGAAACCATTCCCTAATTTAAGGTCATGAAGATTAACTCATATTTTCTTCTAAACATGAGTTTTATTTTAACTCTTAAATTTAGGTCTATAATCCATTTTAAGTTAATTTTTTGTATGATGTGAGGTAGAGGTTCATCTTTATTCTTTTGCATTTCAATATTCATTCGTCCCAGACCATTGTATTATCTTGGCACCCTTGAAGAATATCAGTTGATTGTAAATGTAAGGGTTTATATCTGGACTTTCAGTTCTATTCCATTGATTTATACATCTCTCCTTATGCCAGAACCGGACTGTCTTGGTTACTGTAGGTTTGTAGTAAGTTTTGAAATCATGAAGTATGAGTTCTACAGTTTTGTTCTCATTCAAGATCATTTTGGCTTTTCTGGGTCACTTGCATTTTCATATGAATTTTAAGATCAGCTTGTCAATTTCACATTAAAATTATAGCTGGGTTTTTGATATTGATTGTGTTGAATCTATGTTATGAATCTGTAAATCAATTCAGACTCTTGACAATAGTTAAGTCCTCTAATTCATGAACAGTGAATGTTTTTCTATTTATTTTGGTGTTCTTTAATTTCTTTCAATGTTTTGTAATTTTCAGTTTATGTTTTGTACTTTTTTAAATTTTATTTCTGAGTACTTTATTCTTTTTGGTAATATTGTAAATGAAATTGTTTTCTTTCATTTTTGAATTGTTCATTGCTAGTATATAAAAATATAATTGATTTTCATATCATGCAACCTTGCTGAACTATTAAACTACTAACTCTAATAGTTAATACATTATTTAGAATTTTTTAATGTATAAGATCATGTCATTTGCAATTACTACTAGTTTATTTTTTCCTTCGTAATCTGGTTGCCTTTTATGTTTCTATTTTTTTTCTTTCCTGATTGCCCTAGCTAAATCCTTCAGCAAATGTTAAATAGAAGTGATGAGAACTGACAGCCTGTCTTGTTATTGATCTTAGGGGGAAAGCGTTCACTTTTTAATCATTAAGTGTAATGTTACCTGTGGATTTTTTAATAACTGACCTTTATGAGGTTGAGGAAGTTTCCTTTTATTT